GTAATTTTGCGATTAAGGTCTTGAATCAATGAAACTCCTCTTTCTGCCACGTCATTGGTAACTCGATGATTCTTAAAAACTTCCTCTGCTTTTAAGTAGCTTTTAGACTTTTAGTGTTACCTTCAGCGACAACAGGCCTTGATAACTGAATGTTTGTACGATTTCGATCTTCTTGGTCTAAAATTGATCATTCTGCATACGTTATAGCAAACTCGGCTATTATTCAAAGGATTACAGAGAATATACGACATGAACTAGTTAATTTTTGCCAAGAAATGCTTAAAATAAAACAAGTAAGAGATGATTATCGTGAGATTGTGGAATTATCAGTTATAATTCTTGGTGAAGAACCCACCAGAGGAATAAAATTTATGACTCCAGGTGCTACTAGTCATTCACGTTGGATGTCAAAAGTAATTTACTGTTTAAAAATATTTATGTTTAGTGAACAATTTCATCTAAGTACCAAAGAAAAAAGGGGCCTCGAGGAAATATGTGTTTTCATTGTAACCGTCCATTTAAAAAATTAGTTCACTGCAACTTTGGCGGCATGTGCTCCAAATAATGACTTGCAACTGATAAAGACCTTAATAAAATATGATAATCCACATATTTCAAAAGCCACTGTAAAAAAAATGATGGGTCATTTATGGTATTTGTCAGATGAGTTAGTTGGTCTTTGTCTGTTCGACAAAAATGTCCCTGTTGAAACCAAATGTAAGATAATTTACGCCATAAATAATAACCCCTCTCCAGAAGTTCCCAATGTAAGACCGAAAATTGACCAACACGATGTAGAAAATTTACAGCTTCATGATTTAGCTAACAAAAATACAATACAAATTTTCACAGAATTTGGTGTCGATGAATTTTTGAAAAATGACGTGGTAAACTGGACCGAGTCTAAAAGCTACTTAAAAGCAGAGGAAGTTTTTAAGAATCTTCGAGTTACCAATGACGTGGCAGAAAGAGGAGTTTCATTGATCCAAGACCTTAATCGCAAAATTACCCATGATGAGGATCAACTTCAGTTTCTCTTACAAGTAGTTTCTGAGCATCGGAAGATTTACCCTGATTGCAGCAAACAAACTTTAAAAAAAAGCAATTCAACTTTTATATAATTTTTTAATTCTTTAGTAAGTAAAATTAGAAATGTTAAAAATGATTTATATAATATAGCTTGACTTATTGATAAAAAAATATAAGAACGTATACATAAAATAGTTTTCATTATTATTTTATTTTTTTTTTAAGTTAAAAATTTTCAAATAGCTTGGGATGGCTCAAAAATTAATTTTTAGTGTTTTTTTTTCTTGAGAATTGTATATAAAACCAGGTAGAACAATTTTCAAGTGTAGGAGTATAACTTAAAAAAAAAATTTTTTTTTTGTCACTTTTAGACCACCCTAATATATATATATATTTTAGAGACGGGGAATTAAATTATATCTTAGAAAATCGTAGTCCAAATTAAATCTTCTGTGAAATCTCCCTAAAAATGTTTACATAACTCAATTTTTTATAATAAACAATTTTATTAAAAGTAATAATATACAATTTTTACTGAAAATTAAATATTTAGATAGAAACGCATAGTTTGCATTCAGAATGGGACATAACAAATGTGATACCTAAAAGAAATATACAAATTTACCCATGCTGCCCGGAAGAAATTTACATAGACATCAGCTACAATATCACTATCAAACGAAGAACACATCCATACAAATCAGTTATCTACATACCAGCCTTATGCAAGTATTTTAAATTGAAATAAATACTTATATTATATTTAATATTAATAACTACAAATTTTCCCACATTTCAATGTCCATTAAAAAATAAGGTAGTGTTAAATTGGCGTTTTTAACCTTTAAATATTTCTTTAAAAAAATAACTCAATATAAAATGTTTATGAATGCATTAATACTTAAATTAATTAATTATATTTCATTTATTTTAAATAATTAATTAAACTATACAATTAGCTATTTTCATAATTTCTGGGAGTAGGACAAGACGACTTACAATAAAACAAGTTAACAATCTAGTAGTTCGAAAATCGATATACCTTTGATATATTATAAAAATTCATAAAAACAGTGATTACGAATGTAATAAAATATCTTCAATCAATCAATCAGGTAATTATAAAAATAAAAATCTTAAGAGTAAAAATCAAAAATAAAATGCAAAGCTTAAACGGCACTCAAATTACTCCTCAATAATAACTGAACTAGTAAACTAATTCTAAACAATTTATGAAATGTATAAAAATTTTTTATACGACGAAATCTCGAATTTATTTTTATTTATAAATTGCTTCTTTGTAACCCCCAATTTAATTAAGACTTAAAAGTTTATATATAATCAGTGATTTAATTCTTCAATATATGCAATAGACAAGATTTAATCCTTACACTGAAAACAAATTTAATTTTTCATTTTTACTTGAATTATAAAACTATTGTAAGGCGCCTTACAGAATTATTTTCGGACAGGGAGTAAGAAATAATATATAATTTTTTTGTTGGTTCTTTTAATTCCCCTTTACATTTTAATATAAGACAAAAAAAAATAAATTATTTTGCTCTAAGTGTCAACCAAACTCACTCTTATATTTATAAATACCAATACCATGGTTATATACTATATAGGAGATGTCCCGGGGATATACTATGAAATAACTTTCCTGTGAGAATACCCATCACTAATCTTATTACTGCACTAATATATACATATATAGTAATTTTTAAAGTATGATATATTTGAATAATCAATCAACAAACAATTAAAAAACACAACAATGTCATTAATAACTAAATTTATTTCCAGGTAGTGCTGTTTTTAATTTAGTCGTGTTTTGGATGCCATACGATCAATATGGTAAAATAATTGTTAACTTATTGAATGCACTACTCGTAACCGTATTTACATTGATAATCTATTCAAAAATACCAATCATATTATCCAGTATACCTATTATCGGTAATTCAATATCATATCTTAACTAATTAGTAGTAGTACAAATTATATATAGTGTCTCACAAGGTTTTGACAACTTTTGAACCAGCAAATATTTAAGGTTTTTTTTTTAATTTGTACATTTTTGACTACGTCAAAAACATTTTTTATTATATGTCTCTAAAGAATTTTTTTTTTAGCTTCGATGCAAAGCTGAGAAGTTATTCATTTTACTATGATGTGTTTTTTTTGTGTCTATTACCACTTTTTCTCAGCTTTCACCGATTTCAATCGATTTCTTTCAATGATACGTCAAAAGATCACAAATCGTATCTAGTCGAAGACATTACCCTCAAAAATTGAAAAAAAATTCCCTCGTTCCCCGTAAATGGGGGAAACCTCCAAAAAAATTACAAATTTAAAAATCGCTAATTTTCGTAATTTTTTCAATTTTTTTTACTTAAAACTGCCATAACTTTTTCAAAAATGAACAAATCAATATAATTTTTTTTTTATAGATGCTTGATATCTTTACCTATCATTTGGTATATTTTTGATAGTAATTTTAATCATTATACTTAATCGAACTATGCCACGACACCACTGTGGCCCCCCCTGTACTGGGTTTTTTTAAATTTTCATTCCAAATATTCATATATATTTGGCATAGATTGACCCAATAGCCTACTTTCTTTACAAATATGATAGAATAATACTCGAGAACATATGTTAAAATATTTAAAATGATTTATAATTTACAGTCATTTATTACACTTACTGTCTCGGACTAACAGCTGCGACCACTATTATATCTTTAGTGGCGAAGAGAATTACTATGATCAATGAACCACTTCCTCACAATTTAACTCAGTTCCTTCGATTTAGTCACCTCAAGTATTTAGGAATTGAAACAAACGTAAATATTTATGGTTATATATGTACTTATATTAGATTGGCGCAAAATTAGTCACCAAATAGTATAAAACATTGTTCTAAAATTTTCTAAAAATTTAGGCTAAAAAACATTTTTATTTATCACTTAACGCGCTTTAAGTCTATTGACCAAGAATACCAAAAAAAAATTTATTTTTTATTTTGATTAAAAAAACCAGCTTACATACATTTTTTTATATATATAAAATAATTGTGTCCCAAAAATTTTAATTTTTTTAATCTATAATAAACTGCTAATCAGTTCAAAATTTTCTGTTTAACTGAAAATTTTGTAATATATTTTATACATATTAAAAAAATATATATATATAGAGCTTGTCTCCTAGGAGTAAGCGATAGCCAAAGTAAAAAAAAAACAAACTGTGTAAAATCATTTTTTGTCCAAACCATATTTTGTCAATTTTCGAATTTAAATGAAAAATAACCTTATCGCGTACAAGATACATATAAATTAAAAAATTACAAATAAAATATTTTTTATCATCTTTTGGCTTAATTGGAAATTAATCCATTACTTACACTATTTTGATGCTTACGAGTTCTAAGCCTCAATCATTGGATCAATCCGTTAGTATTCATACAGATTAATCAGAATTGGACAATTCATGTAATCCGGATCAAATTATTGCAGCAGGACTATATACAATCAATTGAATAATTAATCTGTATCTTATGACTAGTCTGGATGACACAAAGATGTCTAATTATTTGATTGACATTTTTTTTAAGTTATCATTTCTAATATTAGTTAAAAAAATTTATTAAAAATTTTGGATTCGAATTGTACTTAGAGTAAACTTGTAGGCGGGATAACAATTATTTTAATCCAGATTAAGGATTAATTGAAATTTTGTTCAGCACTAATGACATAATCAATTTCTAATAAATAATTTTATTTATATTTGAACGGATCATTTTTCTTGTTGTATTTTTAGTCAATTTACTTAAAACACGTTGAGCGACCAGTAAATTGTTTTTTTTTTATCTCTAACTTTTATAGTGATCATTTTTAATATAGGAAAAAATTAGAGTGTATTCCATTAACATTTCGAAAATTAACTAATTTTGTGTTATCCTAATATACAGAATAAGTCACGAAAACAAATACAATAACTGTTCATCTACTAAATATTTAACATTACTTATTTTATTATCTTATTACTTATTTTTTCGACTGAATTAAAATTAATTGTGTAATAACATTTTTGCAGTAACTTAATTTTTGATGTTATTGAATTAACAATTTGTAAATATTCTCCTTTTTTTTTTGAACTAAAATTAAGGTAAATCTGCTTAATTTTTTTAACCAAACCAATTGACAATTGTTGTAAACTTTATTATAATTTAAAAATAAGTAATTATCATGTTATGATGTTATGTAAGGAGTATGAACACCTTACCTTAAATGAATATTTCAAAACTCGATTATATAAATATTTTTCTTATATATAAATTTTATTAACTTTTTTTTTTGTATAACCAATTTTAAGCGATATTGGGGGTACAANACTAGTTATATATATGAATATTTTGAAACAATTTCGGTGATAGTTGGGGTATTTCGATAAATGTTATTTATTATTAGTAAAAAAAATTACTATATCTCTAAATATTCTTTATAGAACAAAAACTATAGGTTCCACATATAAATATTAAATAACCTCTTTTATAGATAATAAATTTTTTCTATTATTTTTATTTGAAACTTTTTACCGTAGAATAAAAATTTAATGGGGAAATCAAAAAAAGGTTTTTTTTACTTTTCAATTCAAATAACCTTAAAAGCAAACAAGATATCAATATAATTTTTTAGATATTATTAAGAACGAAGTTATAAAGATGTGAACTAAAATTTAACACTATGAGACTTTTTAAAGCTTTAAAGACTTTTTAATTTTAACTAGCTTGACAGAGCTGTATAATAGATATAAAATTATGTGACAAATAAAATGATGAAAAGTACAAAAATATTTATTATTCACTTTTATGAATAATTATGTTAAAATATTTTTAAAAAAAATTGCTTAATAATTTATTAAGTAATTTTTTATGTAATTTACATAAAAAAAAATGTAGGGTTTAATATATTCACAATATTTTTTAACGAGTACAATAACTTGGTAAAAATAAACATGATGTAATGTATCCATACTTAAAATAACAATAAAATTTAAGTAGCTATAAATAACTAATATTCAAAACCAAATAGCTATTATTGATGCATTCAAAGGTATAAAGAATAAAATAGATTACTAATTATTCAATTTTTTTTTCAATTCAGATATTCAAGCAATTTATAATTTTCAACAAAAAAATTAAAAATATTTTCACAAATATTTCATATACTTCTATCCCTTTCTTTATAATATGACTATCATTTGGTACTATAAAATATACATAATAAATTCAAATTTTTATTAAATCCTTAAAAAAAAATTTGAATGCTTTAAAAATTTAATTACTTAACATTAATAAAAGATTTTGATACCAAATATTTTCCTAAATTTCATTGACAAACGACAGATTTGACATTTTACAAAACTGTTGAAATATATTTTTGATAAAAAAAAAAAAATATTTTATGTTAAAATGATTGTTATTTTATTAATATTAATAAAGATTACAATTTAGAAATTTTACAATAAACATTTTAAAACAAGTCTATAATCATTGTATACAAAAATTTTAACAATTATTCGAAAAATAAAATATAGTAAAATATTTACTAGATTGAAAGTTATTAAGTTTGTCATATCTTCATAAATCACCTTATAAATATATATTTGTTCTTAATTTTTTTACTAAAAATATTATTTAACAGGATTCATTTGCTGAAAATCACATTTTATGTGGAAACGAAGACATAAATATACAGGTTAACTATTTTAATGAACGACAAAAATTGGCATTAGTTATTGACAGATTCTGTTTTACGTTATTTATAATGTTTTATTTTCTTATGTTTATTAATTTTATAGTATAAGATTTCCAAATAATGTATTGTAAACAATATATAATTCAATTATTGTTAAAAAAAAATTGAATTATTCTCCTTCTCACCCTTGGTTATTCAATAATACTTATTAATTTTAATATCTACTGACATTACTTTACAGCAAAAAAATAAAATCATAAATTAGTACATGGCTGCAATAGGAATAACATTTTTGTTGATAATTAATCCAAATTAATGTATAAAATATGAAAATTGAATTGGATTTATAAAAAAGTTGTGCTAGTAAATTATTTTTAGCAATATTTAAAATTTAACGAACATATTACATACATCAAATTTTTCAATAATTTGTTTAAAATAAATAAAAAAACTAAATTAGATACAAGATAGAAAATTTTATATTATTTATTAATAACAAATTAAATTTAACAAATATATTACTAAATATCTATAGTTAGGAATACATTTAAAATCACATTAATATGTATTTCAAGAAATAACTACAAATTACCTTTGTTTTTTATGATTACGTGATTTACTAGAACCTGCTTTAGTATTTTGATCATCAACAATCAAAGATCCATTTAAAATATCTTCTCGACAATCACTCTTATCAATTGTATTTTGAGCTTCTAAAAAAAACATAAGGTCCCTTACTTGCTCTTTTAATTCAGTAATTTCCTAGAAAAATAATCATAAAAATGATTAAAAAATAGATAGCCACCTAAACTAAACGAAATTCTTCGCAAAAAAATGGATAGAAAGTTTTTTCTTCAAAATTACACTATTTAACCATTTTTATTACTAATGTTATGTTAAACATATATATTTTGTTTACTTGGTCTTTAACAGTTTTATAATTTGTGAATTCTTTTTCTAATTGAGAAAATTTCACTTGCCACTCAACTTGATTTTTCTGTAAAGCAAAATTTATCTGGGATTCTTCATCTAATTTACTCTTTGTTTGTTCTAATTTAATATTCAAGTTGTTTATCTATAAATAATTAAAAAAAATTAGTATAATTAAATTTACTGGAAAAAAAAACAATGGATATTTGCAGTGGAGTACTATAAATACGCACATAAGTAAATTTTAGTGATGGGCATTTTCGAATATTTTAAACTATCGAATAACTATTCGAATTGTTTTTATACAACCGAATAATTTATTTTTAAACTATCGAATAGTTTTTAATACTATTCGAATAAACTAACGAATAGATTTAAAACATATTCGAGTGGGCTAGAGAATGGTTTCAAAAAATATTCGAATAGTTCTATCTAAAATTTTTATTAAGTACACTTAATTATAATAAGAAGATAATTAACAAATATTTAAAATAAATTATTATATAATGAATAATAGTCAAAAGTACCATTTTATTTATTTTTAGTTTGTGAGTCATTAGTAAAAACTGATAAATATGGGTCAATTCATTATTAAATTCATTTTAAGTTTATCCCTTATACCTTGTAAGTGTATCAACTTTATTTTTTCAAATGGAAATATACATAATTAACTAACTTATAGGATAGATAATAATATTATTAATAAAATGACTAATTGATAACAACTTCTGGACTAGTATTTCAGAAGTTACAGCATTTTAAAAAATGAACTGGTGTGAGTCGCAGGTATATATTAGGGTGGCTCTTATTTTATTAACTTTCATTGATCGATATCCATACCCACCAATTTTGTTTTTTATTATATGTAAGTTATTTGTGTAAAATTTGGTTTTGATAACTTACTCATTCAGGTCCAAATCGGGGTTGAAAATTTGCTCAAAAAAGTAATTTTTCATTTTAAGATTATTATTTTTAAAACTAACACACTTAACGTAACAATGTATAGAATATAAATGATAGATTTTAATATTTTCTTTTAAAATGGTATTTACAAAAATTTTCTAAAATTATTTTTACTTGCTCAAAAAAATAATTTGCTAAAATTCATTTTTTGAATATAAATCATTCTTAATTTTCGAAATAATCATTTTACAGCAAAATTTTTTGTAAAAAAAAATATGTAAAGTTAAATTTTCTAAAATATTGGTCTTATGTAAAATTATAGTCAGATTTATAGTTTTACTGTTTTAATAACACTAACGATCTAAATAGTATTGTTTAAAACTATTTATTCAGGGTACTACAATTATAAATAGGATAGAATTAATGATAAAAAAAATTAGTGATGGGCATTTTCAAATATCTTAAACTATCAATTAACTATTCGAATTGTGTTTATACCACCGAATATTTTATTTTTAGCATAAACTATCAAATATTTTCTAAGCTATTCGAATGGAGCTACCGAATAGTTTTAAAAACTATTCGAATAGACTATCGAATATTTTTACTTTTCTAATAGTTTTTGAATGACTATCGAATAGTGGACAATTATCGAATAGTTCGATAGTTACTATTTGATATTTCCCATCACTAGTAAATATCCTCCCATTAACATGCAATGATGATATAAAACTATTAATATATTTTATTGGTCATAATCAGCTCAAAATAAGTAAATCTTAAAAATATTACTTATAACCTCCCATTATACAATTTTAAACACACCCTTGTATAGATAAAATATAACATAATAAATATTATGGTCATAATAAGAATTTTTAAATTTAATGATAAGTTATATACTTTTTTTTCTAAATTAAGTTTTTCTTTATTAATAGTATTGATACGTTCTAAAAGATTCTTGTTTTCTTCCACTTTTTTTTCTAAAATGTCACTATCTTTATTTGTACCATGAATAATTTTTTTCAATTTTTTGTTTTCTTCAGTTGCAGCATTAGCCTTTGATTGAATTTTACTAACCTAAAATAAAAATATATACAATTTTTAATTATATTATTACCACTTGTAATATCAATTTGAATAATCATTTTTAAATGAATTACTGGATTATTATTATTATTATTTAATTATGTTTAAAGTCGTCTCAAAAAGCTATAACTTGTGTCAGAGAGGACAGGAAAACCAATATTGCCTAGTAAAATAGTCGAGTTTTTAAAAGCCTAGATATAAAAATAAACAGGTCCGCTCTATACATCAGGTCTTTATACAGAGCGATACTTTTAACATTAAGCACTCTATTTCTCTTAAGATAATAATTTTTTTGGCTTTTGTTAGTTACTTATATGTATTGATTTATGTATTATAAAATATTTTTTATGTTCATCCCTTATGTCTTATAGGAGTGTCAACTTTATTCTTTAAATGACAGCATATATGTTTAAACAGCTTATAAAATATAAAATGTTCTAATTAAAAAAATGACTGATCAAACTGAAAAACGTTTCAGAAGTTATTAACATTTTTATACGTAGGTGGGTTTAGGAGCGAGACCACAATATATAAGTGATAAAAATAGCAGCAGCCACTTCTCAATTCCAGTCATTACTTTGAATTATTAATAACTTCTGAAATACTGGTCCAAAAGTTGTTATTGACCAGTCACTTTCTTAATTAGATCATTTTCTATTTAATAATCTAGTTAAATATGTATGTTTCCATTTGAAAAAATAAAATTGACCCTATAAGACATAAAAGATAAACATGAAAAATATTTTATAACAGATAAATAAATATAGATATCTAACTAACAAAAGCCAAATAAAAATTCACAAAAAAATTATTATTAAGAAAAATTGAGTGGCTAATATTAAAAGAAACAACTTTTATTGAAGTATTAATACCTTTTAAAATACTAGTTCAAATATTTTTAACAACCTGTAATTTTTTTAATTAAATAATTTTCTCATTTTTAACTGATTTTACATATATATATCCATTTAAAATCCTATGTTGATTAAATTTGAAGGGGGAAGAGGATACATGTCCAATTTTTTTTTTTTTAATTACATTCTATAATTGAAAAAAAGATTCTATCAAATTTCAAAAGAAAAAGTTATATTATTTTTATAAGTCATATTTTTGTAATTAATTATAGTTAAACAATCACTTTGTTTTATACAGTTATTACAAATCCATGCCTTGGTGCAATTATAAAATTGAAATTATTTGTTTAATATTACTTTTTTTATTATTATCTTTCCTATGATATTGCTGAAAACATTTGTGAAAGGACAACATACAACATTTGTAATATAGGCCCATCTCGTAACAAGTTTAAGAATTATAACTTAAGTTAATGAAATTTTAGTCTGAATACTTGTGCATAGTTGTTTTCTTCAAATTGTTTCATTTGGTTTTCAAAAAATTTTCTCTGAGATTCTAGCTGAGTAGTTAAAAGGTAGGTAAATTCTAATTGAATAGATTCTAGTTTCTGATCTGTATCCTATATTACACAATTAAATCATAATTTTCAATCTTAATATTAAAAAAAAAATTATATAATACAAGATGAAATTTAAATAACTTAACATATAATTAACATCTTTAATTTAAAAATTTATTGAAACTTTAGGATAAGTTAATATAAATCTTATAGAATTTAGCTCACAAGGGGAGGTCACGGTGATGGGGTCACTGATTTTCATAAAATTTATAGAGATCTAATCTATATTGAATGCAGAATCAGACGTATTTGGAATTTTTTGCCAATGCCCCCCTAAGTCGAGAAAATTGACTTTGAAAATTTTCAATTAGCTTAAATGGGGTCATTTTTCTTCCGGATAACAATTTGTGTTATGGTACAGTCGACAGTACGTGATCCTATAACACGTACAGACTCGGGATCGAATCTCACCATCTAATGAATTTTTTTTACTGTTTTCTCTTTGAATTATTAATTTTATATAATAATAAACAAAATATATTTTTTATATTAACCGGGTCAGAGTATATAAATTATAAAGGAGAGAGATTTTTGAAAGGTTTAACGTTCAGTGCAAGGTTATGCGTGGAGTTCATATTANTTCAAATGAATAAATTCTATTCAATGAAAAAAAAAAAATGATTAACTTTACTCCTTCATAAAATATGAATATCACGCAAAACCTTGCACTGAACGTTAAACCTTTCAAAAATCTCTTTCTTTATAATTTATATACTCTTACCAGGTTAATATAAAAAATATATTTTATTTTTTATTATAAAAAAATTTTCAAATATTACATAAAATTAATAATTCAAAAAGAAAACAGTGAAAAAAAAAACAAAAAATTTCATCAGATGGTGAGATTCGATCCCGAGTCTGTACGTGTTATAGGATTACGTACTGTCGACTGGACCATTACACGAATTGCTATCCAGAAGAAAAATTACCCCATTTAAGCTAATTGAAAATTTTCAAAGTCAATTTTCTCGACTTAGGGGGGGCATTGGCAAAAAATTCCAAATACGTCTGATTCTGTATTCAATATAGATTAGATCTATATAAATTTTATGAAAATCGGTGACCCCATCACCGTGACCTCCCCTTGTCAGTGTAAAATTTATTGGTTGAAAAATTTTCTCCATTTATTGAAGAAAAAAAAACTGTTTTTACACTAATTCAATTTGAAAAATATGCTGAAATATTTTAATATTTTAAATAATTAAATATATGTATGTTGATATTTGTACAAGGGTAAAAAGTGTGGGTGGAGTAACAGAAGATTTTAGAGCAAGAGTAGGAGTGCAACAAGGTTCTGCTTTATAGTGATAGATGAAATTACTAGAGAAATACAAGGAAAGGTATATCATGGTGCATGTTGTTCACTGACGATAAAGTGTTAATGGAGAAAATAGGGAGAAAATCAATCAAAGGCTAGAAAAATGAGATCAGCTTTTGAAGGAAAGGGATTAAGTATAATTAATACAGAGTATATAGAATACAAGTTTGACAAAGGGGAACTCAAAGTAGGTGAAATGAAGACATCAGTAACATTAAGTGAGGACTTGATAGAAGAGGTGAAAAATTTTAAAGGATAAGTTGTGTAAAAGAATGGTGGTTTTGATGAAGATATAAGACACAGGATTGAGTGCAGATGGGTGAAGTGGAGAAAAACACCTGGTGTGTTAAACGATAGAAAAATTCCAATGAGATTAAAAGGTAAGTTCTATAAGACTGTAGTGAGACCAGCTATGATGTAGGGTTCAAAGTTTTGGGCAGTTTACAATAGAATAGAGGAAAGAATGAGTGCAGCAGAGATGAGAATGCTTAGATGGATGAGTGGAGTGACTAGAGAAGAAAGAATAAGGGAAAAACATATAAAAGGAAGTATAGGAGTAACATCCATCGTGGATAAGATGTGATAAAATGATAAAAATCAAAAAATAATTCTAAATAATTAATTGTGAAACCTCACAATTACTTAAAAAATTTAAGACTTACATCTAATTTTCCAGGATTACTTCCTTCAACTAATTTTCCATCACCTTTATTTTGAACCAGACGATGAACAAAATTATCCCCAACATAATCCCATACACGATTATTGCCTAAATTCATTGAATAGCAATGTGATGTTTCTAAATAGTGACTAAAATAAAATCAATTAATTAATTAAAATTGAAAATTTAAAAAGGATAAAATAATTACTTATATGCATGTCCTTGAACATATCTACCACAACCTACATAACCGCATATAAGACATATCCATAAAGACTCTGAAGAATGGCATTCTTGACACTGATTATCAGGGACTGACTCCGGGGTTTGAACATATCGGCAAACAGGACAACTGTAAGAAACACCAAAAAAATAAACATCAAATAATTTTCCTCAAATATTAAAATACAAATAATGACAAGTAATATGCATTGAAACAACTAAGAGAGCTCAACCTCTCAGTATATTAATTAACCTTTCAATAATTTATAAAACTATATAAATTAATATATAAAAATATATTTAGAGTGGGAAAAGTATTAGTCCCCAAATTTGTATTCTAGTTGCACTTGTAAATATATACTATTTTTATTTAAACAAAGTAATTTTATTTGCTCACAATTATAATCATTTTGATAATTAATTTGTTTACTTTAGGGTATATAGAGTTGAAACCTCCCATAAAAATAAGAAGGGTTATGAATTTAATACTTGAGACTTAAATTATAAACAACAATAATATTGTGTTTACCTTGTGTCACCCCATTTTGTTAAACAATTACCATGAAAAGAGTGATTACATAAAATTGTCAATATTCCATCAACAGATTCATCCATACGTTCTAAGCAAACAGCACACACAGGCAACTCTGTATGCTGAGATGGTGGTGCACTACATCCTGGCTGATCTTCTTTTATAACTTCTATTTTAGAAACAAATACAAGATTGCAACAGCAGTCTGGTTCAAGAGAGTTAAAAGGCATACCATTAAAAGAATGAAAAAAATCCATTGTAGCTTCCTAATCAAATTGTTAGTTATAAATTTCATATCACTATTATAAAGAAATATTTAAACTTTTACTTGAGTTCTAAATGAAATCAAAGTCATATATTGGTTTAAAGAAATTGCATCTCTAATTATTCTTATATGATGTATATTTTCTTGACAAGCAGCAATAAATGTCATCAAGTCATGACAGTTCATATTTGAAGGGACTGATAGTATACACACCATCTGACTTCGATTACTTGCTTTATCTACTGGTGTTAATATACTATAAAGTGCATCAATATATTATAAATATTTTAATGACATTATGTGATAAACCTTAAGTATAAAGAAACATACTTTTCTTTATATACATGAAGAACACCTTTAGTAACTTCAACAAATGGATTTCCTGATATAAAATTTATTTTTTCTGTTTTACTCATTGTACTTTGTTCTTTTTTAAGTTTATTTTTTTTCTTCAATGAATTTGATTTAGACTTCTTAATAAAGTCTTTTTTTTTTAAATTTTCATCAATAAGTTCATCTGCACTTCCATAAGTTTCTATTTTGAGTTCTCTAGATTTACGGCATCCTCTTGCAGACATGATTTTTCTTTTATCTACAATGACATCAATTTTTGTCATTAAAGATATGATCAAAATCCTAATTTGAACATATTTAATTATAGGATGCAGTGTATAATTTACATAGAAAATTTAAAAAATAGATTTGAACTTGTGATCTCTTAAATCATTTAATAACAATTAACCACAAACATTTTTATACCAACAGTTCCTCTATAATTTTACAAAAAAAAGTCAAACAAGGACTTTGAAAATTTCTCTCGAGTTGTACATTATTGAGGAAACAATTTTTTCTAATAAATATCTTGGTATATAGTATTATTACAGGATATAAAATTTGTTTAAGAACTGCAAGCGACCACTGCCTGCTAAGTGGATATAAACAATTTAGACAATTCATTTTATTATTGAATTTTTTCGAAAAATTAAAGAAAAACGTTAAATAATTGTGAGAATTGGTAGTTTAACTTTTTAATTAAATTATATATTACCCCAGTTGGTTAATGTTTGCTGTTGAATTTCATCTACATTATAATTATCTTCAGTTAATTCAAATCTAAGCACACAAAGAGAAACTGACATTGCATATCATATTACAGCCTGCAAAAATTGATGAATATTTTACTTTTAAACACAACAATGTTGTATTATATTTTTAATAAGACCACGAAAGTAGGTACAACGTAATAGAGTTAGGGAAGTGGTATCTAAATAACAGTTTTGACTTTAAAATTAAGAACCTCGTGTCAAATTTTATATAAAATTAAAATACTGAATCATACGATATTACTTATTTTGATCTCATAATTTTAAGCATAATTGTAATTTTACGTAAGCCGTGTCATAACTGATCATTTTTGTTTTGATTTTAAACATCAATAGTTATCAGCTGATAAATAATGTAATCAAGAAAATCATGGAATGAAGGTTAATGTGTCTTAACATTTAATAAACATTTTTTCCAAGCAATAATTATTACTTTAAATAATTATTATTCTTTTTTTCTAATTAACAGTTTATTTTTTATCCATATCGTTTGTTCTGACAAATATTATACCCAAAGCATAGTTTGTTCCAATTGAATATATTCCAATCCAAAAATGTTGTTCCAATGAATATTTTTGTTAGTTATCTTTGTCCATATACTTAAGTTTCATAAAACATTTGTTCCAACAAGTAATTTATCCATCTATTAATTGTTCTAAAACTATATAAAAACTATACTATGTGTAATCTAATTTAACTTTAGAAAATTAATAATTTATAAAATGGACAAAAATAAAAAATTAAGATATAATTAAATGTTTTTAGATTACTTATAATATTACTAATATAGTCAAAAATATATTATCAAGATATAAAGGTTTAAAGAAAAGTTTCTACAAAACTAAATAAATAGTATAAATAGTTGTAGTAATTGCAATAAAAAGAGCTTTAGAGCGTTGATAATAATAAATAAAACTTTGTTGTGTCAATTGATATGTGTTTTTAAAAATTTTGAAGATCAATTTTTGTCACGAAATATTTACTCTATACACTTACCTTTTGTTTCCAGATTAAAAAAACTTATAAATAATAAGAAAATATTACTCAGATTATTAAAAAGCCATAATATTGCAAAACAAGGTCATATTATCGCTGATTTAGTTTTTGATGTTTGTTATTCATGGGCAATATAATAATAATTCATTGTCTTTAATGAGGCAATATCTATTGAACATTTTTCTCAATTTAATCATAATTATTCATCACAACAAAATTCATACAAACATTGTTTTCATTTTACATTACATTCAATTTGTGAAAAAAATTATTTACTTCTTTTAAAACTAACAAATTTTTTATATATGTCTATACACCAGTAACTATGAAAACGTTAAATACTTTATTGTTTGACTATAACAGAATATTTAGCCAACATTATTAATTATTTTAAAATGTGTTTAACGTAGCTTTCATTACAAATTTGTGTATCATAGTATCAATATATTAATATTTATTATTAAAATATATTTATAGTAGTCGATAATGGATCTTTTAATTGTTTGAATAAATCATCAGAATTTTTATTCTCCTTTAAAAATGACTATACGAACAATCACTTAATAAGTGTAAAATAAAATCCACATTTATTGAATATATTCCATTCAAAAAAAGTTTCTTTAACTTTATTTTCAAAATTGTATTATATTCACTTACCTTTGAGTTCGACTTACAAAGATTCTAAATGACCCATAAAAAATAAATTCAGTAGTTTTTTCAATTTTTTTAAGAGAAATTCAATTATAACAAGGTTTTATTTACACCGAACGAGTATCAAAGTTTAGCGTTCAAGAGGTGTTTGAAAATCGTTTAATTTTAACAAAATAATAATCGTTTCAAACTCTTGTCATTTTAATGTACTAATTATCCACTGCAATAAATATTTATGTATAAATATTTTTATAATTTTGCAAAAATATTTATTAAATATCATATATTTTAGATAAATTATTTTACATCGTTAATTAAAAACCTTTTTTGTTTGATGTAAAAGATTTCCAAATAGTTCACAAAAATAATTTAGTATAGTAAACTGGAGTCTTCTCCAATTTATTCAGAAGAGCTACTATTTATATATAGATACTACTATATATAAATTAAATGTAAATCATTTACATAATAATTATTTTCAAAAAATGTTAAGTTATTTAAATTATTTTTAAAAAATTATTAAAAATTAACAACTCGTCCAAATGTTAATTAATTATACTACAGTAACTATGAAAACATATTCTTTATTGTATCACTGTAATAAAATATTTAGCCAAATATTGTTAAAATTGATCATAATTTTAACAGTATAGACTTTTTACATGGCTAGATAGTTTCCGCCCATCTGTCAATATTTCAGTGGATAGATAATCTAATACTTAAATACACTACAAGCAACGAAAATACTATTCTATCATTAATCAAAAAAACAAATGCACTATTACCACTAATGCACACTCCTAGGGTCTTGCGCTTTTACATACACAGAAATAGATTAGGAGTAATCCCGTATTTTAACATTTATTAAAGTAAAGAAAAAATGTTTGTATAATGTATATAATTAAATAAAAAAAAGTGTTTTGAGTAAAACTATACTTATGTTATATAATAATTTTTGCTTGTAAATATATATTTAAATCGAAAAAAGATCCTCCTCATCTTCTTAAAATAAAAAGGATTGATAAAGAATATCATTTTTTTTTTTAAATTCATTAATCTTAAAAATATATATTTTCATATAAAACACTAAAACATGAATACAATTAAAAAAGACCCCTTTATCGCCCCTAAAAAGGGGTTAATTATAATAATGCATATAATTCCAGGCACTAGTTTTCGCATACATTTTACGACAAATCCTTTAAATAAAACCCAATAATTTCAATTTAAATATCAAATAACCAAATAAATTACTTTTTGTGTAACTATAGTGAGTATGCATTGAGAATCTAAAATTTTAACAGAAGAAAAATCAAACTATTGAATGATTAGAAGTTTTAACTTAAAATTAGCTCAACCATCTTATAGGTAAAAATCAGGGTTTGAGGCCCATCATCTCATAAAATTACTAATTAGTAATAACCAGGGTACGGGACTTATAGCACTTAAAATCATCAAAAAAACCACTATAAAACATAAAAAAAAGCACTCAAATAAGCATTTATAAATAAAAAAATTAATCAAAAAATCCTCAAAAATTTCTTAATTTTCTTTTAAATAATAAAGTACTAAATATTTGTAACTGTGCTGAATATACTTTTTTAGGACTTTAATATTAAATACCATTAAAATGAAATTATTTCATTGAAAATAAGAACGGGTATTTAATTAATTTATTCTTTTAATTATAAATTAAAATTAAAAATACAAAAAAAATTAATTCTGAAAGAATCAAAATGATGTCTGTCTTCGACTTTCAAGTTGAATGACAAGAAATGTTAAATAATATCTTGTTTATGGATTTTTTGAAAAATTAAATATAAATTTGTGTTGATATCCCAGTATGCCATAATGGTCTAAAAATATTGTTTACCGAGAAATTTATTATAAAAAGGAAATCAACCAAGTACCACATTAGTATGACACTTCAACCATAGCTAAAGAAGTTAACGATGCCGAGGACGGCGTTGGCTATCAAATAGATAAGATAACAAAGATAAAATCCTACAAACAAGGAAGGCAATTGAATTGTTTTCCTTATTAGATCTATCAAAAACCGATAAAAAAAACCTGAGTAGGCTGCGTCATAAAGAAAATATTTTAATGTACAAAAACAGAAAAAATAAGAAACAAGCATTTGTTTTTTATTAAATCATCGAAAAAAGCAGAAAAAACTGAAAATAAGCGTTTTTTTGAAAAATCATCAAAAATAGCATTTTCTAGCAAATGCTATAAATTCCGAGTCCTGGTAATAACCAACTACTTTTTCCATAATGTACATACAATTTGAATTTGATTCTCATTTCTTTCGCGCTTTAATTTAATTCCAATATATATAAACAAATAATGAATAAAAAATTATTGATAGCAATATTATATTTCATTTTACAATAGTATATAATAAATAATAATTATTTACAATGAGTAAAATGAATTATTATTCACATTTGTGTAAAACAATAGTTCATTGATATTTCATATTTGATATTATTACAGATAACTACTATTATGGCGCATTTAGAAGGCACTCTACGAGTATGCCTTGCGAGTTGCGCGTTGTAATTCGCGTTCTACTAACTTCTACAACTCACGAGTCAGAATCGCGCCTTTAAAGATTCGACGATTGGGAGTTGGGATTTGGAGTTGATACATTGAGTCAACTCATTTGAGTGAACTGATTCATATCAGTAAGTCAAAAATCTCATATCTATTGAGTAGTAATAACAATCTGTTACTTGGAAGAAATAGTAACATGTTATTTTGTGTTTTACACAAGGTGGATTAATTTGATCGTAAATTTTCCAATTTTCCACTGAGCCCAATGTTTATTACAACGGCAGGTTATTTCCCAATGAAAGAAATATTTACATCAAACGTCTTGAGTTATATATAGATTGATTAATATAGCCGGCATAAAAGTTCAACGTATTTGATCCATTACTCGGTAATGACTAAATATATATATATATTTATACAACAAAACACTATGTACAGGTGGGGAGGGGTTGAGTTTACACATTTTAAAGATGATAAGATGAACAAGACTACCGGACAATAGTAAAACCATCACAAATCGTATGTACTATTTACTCAGTATAACTTCAGTACTCCTATGTATTATTTTATTATTTCCATGTGTATATATCTTTATTACTCACATGACATAATTAATTTTACTTTTTAGCTTCGATGCGAAGCTGAAAAAGTATTAATTTTACTATGATGTGGTTTTTTTTGTGTCTGTTACCACTTTTTCTCCTCGAACCGATTTTTTCAACAGTACTTCAAAAGATCACAAATCGTATCTAGTCGAAGACAATTGAAAATTATCTTCAAAACTTAAAAAAAATGTCCTTCGTTCCCCGTAAATGAGGTAAATCTCCAAAAAAATTACAAATTTAAAAATCGATAATTTTCGACATTTTTTCAATTTTTTTTTTACTTAAAAATGTCATAACGTTTTTAAAAATGACCAAAAAAATATGAATTTTTTTTTATACAGGGTGATCCATTTAACATTGACCAGCAAATATCTCAAAAACTATTTATTATTTTAATAATTTTTTTTTTAAATTATTTTAGTTACATAAAACTCTACATTTATCCATGATCAGATAATTTTTAGGTTCATCCCTTATGCCTTAAAAGGGTACCAACTTTTTTTTTTC